GGTTCCAGACATTCCACACACAGAACCTTGAGCACGTTCTTTCACCACAGCATTGTAGTGTCCTTTTGATCCCTCTAGCATCTTGATCCATCTTTGAAATAGGGATCGTCAAAGAAACCGTCTTGCGCTGTGGATCCATTTGCACGTGTTCCCACTTGCATTCACTAGCTTCTATTTCTCTCAACATCCACAAGCATGCCCACGAGTAAGCCAGTGCAGAATTGATCCCATTGTCAGAACTGGTTCCCGCCAAAACCCAAAGGTCCTCCTTGATGTCTTCCACCTTCGATTCGAGGGCCCTTTTCACCGGCCCCTTGTTTCTAATCAAGGCCTTCTTGCACATCGCCAGCGTGCGAATAAGCCATGGTGGTAGATCAAAACCTCGTTCCACGTGGCAGAGTTTGAGCTCATTTAGGTACTGGTCACCTGACTTCATACCGGCATCCTTGAGGCATGCAGCAACTCCCTCTACCACATCTTGGGTTAGAGGGAAAATTTGCATGCTCACGCCCGCCACCAGCCTCGCCAATCGTATCACTTCTGACCTTTTGACTTCCCTTGACGCCTTTGAAGAGGGGGCCCAGAAATTTGCCTTCAACTTGTTCACCGCGCTCTTCATGCTCGCTTTTGATGCGGCTAGCTGGCATGCTAACCTCATTCCTGTGACTCCAGCCATGCCATGCTCTGCAACTTGGGCATGATCCGCTTCAGCTTTCTCTTTGTCGAAGTTGGTCACCCTCGGGGTCGGGTTTCTTCCTTCCCTTCCGCAGGCGTTGGATCTATAGTCCATTTTCTTCACCAAACATTTGCCTAAGATTCTCTCCAAGTCTCTCTCTGTCTTGCCATTTCCAGTCTTTGGTCCATGTCCTCGAGCACAGGTAGAGCGCGCACCACCATGTCCCTGGTTAGCATTTCTCTGTTCCCCCCTCTTCTGAAGGACGAGTAAACTGCTATGGGCTCCGGCGTTGTGGTTCTGTGCTCCTTCTGCTTGAGCTCCTTGCTCAAAGAACTTGGAGGAGTGCATAAGACTGTTTGCGTTGATACGTTGACCAAATGACTCCCTTCTTGAGGTCCCGCCAATTCCCTGCTCTCTGGTTTCCGCGGGAACAGGGTATTTTTGCAGAACAGGAACAGGTTGCGGAGCCATTTGCAGCATGTGATGAGCCAAAATAACCATCCCAGCACAACGAAGGATTCTACCCAAGACCAATATGCGGCCTCGGCCAGTTCTTCGCTGACTACTTGCACCTCCATTGTGCTGGCTCGAGTCACCCATGCTGCGCTGACATGAACCCAACCTGTGATTCAAACAAACTCAAGTAAAATTTTCATCCCAAACTTCATCACTGCACCAATGAAGAAAGAAGAACCCAAACACATGAGACATGAAAAATGACGGAAGTGATCCTTTCCTACTATTTTACATCACTTCCCTTTCCGCCATCCCCCCCAAAGCTGTGAAAGAGACAAACTCTTCCAAGTTTCCCAGCTTCGGATGTCTCAAAGTTCTTCAAAAGCCGCCGACACCACTTTGGATGCCTGTCCCCACCTAAGAGAGGCATCTACCCCAGGCGGTTTCAGCGCCGACGCCATTATTCTTTCCTTTGGATATTGGCGCATCGGGACACCTTCAAGGCGCTTTGGCATTGCTCCTCTTTGGTGAGGTCGGCTAAGCCAGTCAGCTTCCACATTCCATGCCCCGGGGATGTGCTGTGTGATGAACTTCCGCAGGTTGAGCTCCTCCGCTTTCAATGCCAGTTCGGCCCCAATCCAGTTCAGCACTGGGGAAGGTGCTGCCGACTTTGTCACCGTAGCCAGCGCCACCACGCTGTCCGCACGGATCAGGATGGCTTGGCCCCGCAGCCTGTGTTTCCACTTCTTGATGGCCATTAAAATGGCCCAGGCTTCCAAGGGCCCTTGTCCCGCTGGAATCCCAGGGAATGCCCATCCAACGCGCATGCTCCTCCGTGAACGGTATCTCCAATGCCTCTAGAGGGACGATGGAGCGGCTGCTCTTGTCGATGTCCGCAAGAATGGCGCCAACCCCTCTCGGCGACGCGTCGGTGATGATGGCAAATTGAGGTGGTTCTTCACGAAGGGGTTCACGCCTTAGGGCAAACTTGTCCGGCTTCTCAAACATCGCGATGAACCATTGTCGTGGGAGCTCCATGCGGTGCACTGCGACCATGAACGGTTTTGGCCTTGAGTCTTCTCTTCGGCTGGCCCGTTCGCTTTCCACCTTGACATCTGCCAAGGTTTGGGCGATGACCGCATAGAGAATGTTGACGCACCATCTGGCCCTCACTATGATTCCACATATCCATGCCAGCTTCCCCGTCACGGCCCGCACCTCACGCAATGGCACCATCCCTCTGTTGTTCCAGCCTTCTAAGATTGATTTGACCTCGTTCATCATCTTGGGCGGGATCGATAAGATGACCACCTCCTCAGCCATTTTCACTTCCATGCGGGTTCCAATCCAAACTGCATCTGTTCCCCTGAAACCTTTTCTAAACTGAAGATTCACCCCCAAGGCTCCACACATGTAGAGGATCAACGCAAGGTTCTCCCTTCTCCTCCATCTTGGTCCTTGCAACATCCACAGTGGATCATCCATGTAAACCTGCGATTGCATCTCATCAGGTGGGACCATGGATTGCAACATCCTTGCCAAAGCAGCGGAGAAGCGTCCCATAATCAATGGGGCCCCCTTGAACCCAAAGAGCATGGCCGTGAAAACCAGGTATCTGCCCTGGTTCATCGATGGAGCCACGCAATTGCCCAGCTCGTTCTCATGCACTGCCAAATGGCAGTAAGCATCGGCTAGGTCTGCCGACACCAGTTCCACCTCGTCACACTGCTCCTGATCTTCCCAGTTCTCTTTCTGGGCTTTCAAAATCAATCCAAAACGGCTTTCCCTCAGGTACTTCAAGCTGTCCACCACGTCTTGGATTCGAGGTAGAACTATTCGTTCTCTAACCCTGCATCTGTTGTTTCCTCCACTACGCAGCAAGTCAATGATGACCCTGCGCTTGACAGATCCATCCTCTTTCGTTTTGAGGATCAAAGCCAGCTTGCTCACCGTGCCCACTGTGAAAGAATCTCGGAGTTCCTTCTCTGAGAGCTCGATGCAAAAGCCCTTGTCGAGGTATCTCTGTATTTCAGCTTGGGCATGTTCAGGCTCCTCCACGAAGCTCTTGTAGTTCTCCGCCCCCAGCTGCGCCTCCATGTCCGGCATTTCTTCGAATTCCATGTCTTCATCTTCTGTCATTGGGAAGATGCCACAATAGGGTATCCTCTCGGACATGCCCAGCGGCGTGCCAGCTCTGATCCATCCCACGAGGTCCAGCTCTGGGTCACCTGAATGTTTGCGCCAAGCTTCCCACAGTTTTGCATTCACCGGTGACGTAAATCGCCCCGGTTCTCTGAGCACCACCTCATCAAACTCCTTGACCTTCAGGAAGTGCTCGATCCTTTCTGTCCAAGCCTTCAGCACGTCCGTGTCAAGTTGGCAATTCTCTCCCCCATAGTCCTCAGCCGTTCGTAGCGCTTGAGGATGCTCTGCCACAAACCTTGTCCATAGTCTGCGAACATCTCGTCCAGCTTCTGCCAACTTGCTCAGTCTGCTGACAGCTTTGGCAGGGTTTCGCATGCCCCCCACGAAGTGTGCGTTTTCGCCTTCTCTTCTTTTCTTTCTGGAAGGTCCTTCTGTTGGGCCTGAGCTCACCTCCACGTTGTCGGCCATCCACACCCGTCTGGATGCTTCAAGGTCTTGTGCCCTCGCTGGAGGCGCTTGACGTTTGCCTTTGCTCGCCAACCATCTCACCTGAGCTTCTGACACCTCCTCCTTCTTCCGCTTCAGCGCCTCTCGCCACCATTCCATCTGAAGTGTGGTTTTGAAAGTTCTAACCACCAGTGCTGCGTAAGCTCTGCATAGCTCCTCTGGGTATTCAGCCGCGCGGGAAGTCATGTTCTTGCCAATCAACGCTTGGTGTCTGCTCCATCCAGGACACTTGCACTTTCTGGACAGCGTTCCCAATTCTGCAAGGCACCCAGTGAATCGCCCAGGTTTAAACCACTTGTACTTCACCTTGGACTGGTATGCACAAGTGTTGAACAATGCCGTCACAGCTCCTAAGTCCTTCTCGAATGAGATGAGTTCAGGAAGCGCCCAAGCCGGCCCTTCTTCGCCCGTGTCACTGCCCGGGGGATTTTCCAGTGTTCCAGCTGTCGGCACTGCCCGGCGCCTCTGGCTCTGCACCACCTCGTTGATGATGATGGCCGATCCCACAGCCATCACTGTGCCTCTGTCTGCTTCTTGTTGTTGAGCTTTGCTATTGGTTGCAAGCCCATATATCTCAGCTCCGGACCTCACTGGTTTGGGTCCCTCTCCTTCTGTGTTGTACCGTGCCCTTGAGAAACTGCCACAAGGGAAACCAGCATGTCCTCCATCATAAGCCCCTGCCTTCGCTTTCTGCAAGATGTCCGTGAACGGATGCTCAGCGAGCAGGTCATGTTTCGAGTCCATCAACTTGTCGTAGGACTCCATCTCCAGCTGGATTCCTTCCTTTTCACATTCTACCTTCAAGGCTTCCGCCAAAACATCACGGGGCCCTGCAAACAAATGCAAAAATCTGAACTTTCTCTCCGTTTTGAACTTGCCAAAAGTCTCGCAGTTTCTCAAACACTCTTCAATTCGTCCAGGCACTTCTGCATCCAGGCCACATGAAGCGTCCTTCGCGCTGGACGAGTCCGGTGTTGAATTCATGCTGCAAAAGGGGCTGCGGACACAAACATGCAGAGTGATACAAGGTTTCAACCAACAGACACGACAATCAGGTTCAAACCGATTTCACCCAATTCCCCCCTTAATTGTTTCTCCCCCCAAATAAAATGACCCTTCTGTCGTTTACTCTGAACCCAAAAAAAACCTGTCCAGGGCTTCTGCATTCCATCGCCGTTGCAACGGAGAAACCCAAGTTTTTCACACAGAATCAAGGTCACTTCTTCGGGCACTGGGCATTATTATGCCCAGGAGATAAACAAATTTGGCACTTATGTGCACGCTTCACTTTGGCCTTGCACTCGCTCCCTGGGCTCAGCCCTGCGCAAGGTCCGTTGTCCTTTGCCCACGAAAAGCAGATCTCTTCTCCGGACTGATCCTTGCCCTGCATCTTGTTCTTGCCTTTTCCCCCGCTTCCAGCACCTTTTCCACTTGGAGGGTTGTTACGCCACTTGGCTAACTCTTCACGATCTGACTGAGCTCGCCTCTTCTTAGCTGCTCTCTTGTCCCTGTTAGCTTGCCTCCTTCTTTCCTCCTTGTCGTTGCTAGCAACTTCAGGTTCATGTCCTTCAGCAAGTCCTGGAAAATGTGCCAGAGCCAACGCCTCTGACGATGCCAATGGAGCTCCCTTAGATCCCGATGCAAGCCATGCTGTCGCTGGATGCCGTACCTGATCGTTCCAGTAACCTTCATCTTGTGCAACTAACCTGAAAACCACTGACCATGGCTTGTCTTCGTTGTAGTCTGCTGGCACGCTCTTGTTGTTCCTAACATCCATTGCTAGCTGCCTTCGAACTCTTTCGAGTCGCTCTGCCCTCGCCTTGTCATCGGCGTGTGCAATGAGTCCCCAATTTCTGGGCCACTGCACTGTCATCTTCTCGATGGCCTTCTCGTAGAGGAGCAGGGACGCGATGGAGCAAATGTCCAGGGAGATTGCAGCCACCTTGAACACCTTCCAACTTGCTTGCCATTGTAGAAAGTTTTGTGGTCCTGGAAACTCCCTGGCCACGAACGTTCCATCTCCCACCGGGAAGAAAGCCCTCATCTTCTGGCTACGAAGTGCTCGTCTTCCAAAGGGTAGCCAAACCCCCATGTCGACGTAGGGAGCCTGGCCCAACTGGTTCACTCTCTTGTCCGGGGCAGCCATCTGAGCATCTGTAGGTTCCTCATCCTCCATGGGATGGTCGCCCATGATTTGCAGATATCTCTGCGACCAGGAGTGAATGGTCTGTAGGTCCGGCGGCATCAGCTCACTCTCATCTGTCTGATCCAACAACGTGGACATCTTCAAGACCTTTTCTTTGAGTCCACTGCCTTTGAGTCCTTGCCCTTGAGCTTGTCCGTGAGACCTGGAGTTGTCTTTGGGCACCCAGGGGTCCACATCCTCGAAGTTCGTGATGTCTCCACCCTTCTTCAAAAACATGACCATCCTAGCAACTCGCCAGACTAACCCCACATGTGCAGCCTCAATGGCGGAGAGCCCTACTCCTGCAACTTGTGCCTGACCAATGCCTTGCACCACGATGTGCGCCGGCAATGCTGCCACCACCCGTAACTCTTGGCCCGGGTTACCAACCTGCTCCAAAAAGGATTCCCAAATTGTTGCCGGCACCCTCAGAAGTCTCGTCACGTCCGTGACCGTATTGACACCTTGAACCTCATCTACGGAGGGCAAGACGTCCATGGCTGAACGCGAGTTGAACAGATAATATTTTTCAGTTTTCAGTCAGGCTACATTTTGAGCCCGACTATAGAACATGTTCCCTCCCTCCACCCATTTCATCGTGCAACTCATTGGCATGTTTGTCACCACTGTGGTGGTTCTCACTAAGTACTAAGTATGCAAACATATGCAAACAATGTGCGTTCAGAAATCTTCACCAAGAAACTACAAGCACCGCAAAGTCATTGGGCTCATCCTTCTCTGGGAGTTTTTCCCGACTTGGCCAGCTCAACTTCTGCAAATGGCGAATGATGGCTTTGCCTGTCCTTAGCATATTGGATTCATATTAGGTTGATGATGGTTGATGATGGTTGATGAATGTTGATGATGTTTGTGTTAAAGTTGGCCTCAACAACAATTTGCTCATATTTTACCGTGCAGGCTGACTTTGCACTCCAAGGTCGCGGCCGTTCTGCCTGTCACAAAATGCTAACATGCTGTCAGAGGTGGAAAGGATACAGCAATAACAGCAATGACACGTCAAAATTTCATTTCCAGCATCAAATGATCATGATTTAGCAAATTGCCCCATGCTGAATGCTCTTCAACTTACAGTAATTGAAGGTGAAATGGCATGATTCACAAATCCATGAGCGCGCAGGTGGGATATGTCATGAGTCATATTTGATTTCTTTTGCTGGCAAATTAACTAACATCCACATGTTGAATATGTTTGAGGCACTCTCTACTTGCAAACAAGCCACGCCAATTTGCTTCGCTGTTTCCTTGAAATGGAAAAGATTACTTCTAGCGATTACGGGTTGCAAATGTTGGAATGTACACCAACACCATCCTATAAGAGCTGCAGAACTAAACTCTCAACGTCGTTGACATCTCCAATGCAGAGCTGGAATCATTGACCGTGGCCAGGATCTCATCATGCCATTCCGGCTTGATGTGACTCAGCGTTTTGTTCATCATCGCAATATCCCTGAGATATCCAGAGATATCCAAACAGAGTCTCGCACAGTCTCCTATCCAAAAGCCTCTACATTGTGGACCCACCAGTGCTACAAATAGTGAATTCAATAATATTCAGTTCTTGGTTTTGTCGATATGCGCACAAGTACACTGCAGAATACTACAGTATATGACACTTTCAAGCCAAGCTGCTCGGTTTTCAAGCCAATGTTTTGCGCAATTTCTATGATGTCCTCCACTGAGGCGTGTGTTGTTGTGGTAGTGGACGTCTGGGCTCTTTCAATTGATTTCCTCAGGTGCTCAGTTCCCAAATGATGAGTTCAAAGACCGTCGGCAAAGCTGAGTTACTGGGTTCAGGCTTATGTTTGCTATCCGGAAACTCCACACAACTTGGCGCCAAGTTGCAAGACTTCCAATATGTCATCATAGTGCTGCTTGGGTATCAATTGTAGTGTTGCATTCAGCTGCTGGCCCAGCCTTAGTACATGCCACCCACCTTGCAAGATATACGGGAGACTGGAACATGAAATCAAAGCACACGCGGAATCTTCATGAATCTTCCACATCACCGTCTCACTCACATAATATGCGCGCAAGTCTTACGTGATGTAAGCTTGGCGATCTGGTGAAACTCATAGTCGCTGCCAAGTCTGCCAAGCTGCTCGGCATCAAAACCCAGCGCGTGGGACATGGCAATGACGTCACTTGCTGCAGCTGGGGTTGTGGTCGTGGTCGAAGCCGATGATTTTTTGCTTGAAGCTGACGATTTTGAGCTTGCTTCAGACGGTCCTGGTGCCTCGGACCCGAGACCTATCGAGACCTATCGAGACCTATGGTGCATTGTGGTGTTGACAATGTCCCAACACCACTGCAAGGGTCTGACAAGGAGCATTCAAAACAATGCCAAGGAGCAAAGACTGGAGCAAAGGCTTCGAAAGGCTTCGAAAGGCTTCGAAAGGCTTCGAAAGGCTTTACTGGCTCTACGTTAAAAGCATTTTCGTATTGCTGTCCCAGGGATGGGCATGTGCCACAGTCAACAGGGAGCGGGCGGCGGGTCTGGTGTTTAGATCTAAATTGATTTCAGAGCCCGAGAAGCTGTTGTCGTGCCGGCTGTGAGTGCATGGAGAGCGTCAGTCTTGTTCAGTGCCACGGCTGCCGTCCCCCTCAGTGAAAGTATGATATATAAATATGGGCAGTATGGGAAAGTGAGTTAATCATATCTGTGTTGAATCAGCATCTGCATTTGCAGTGCCACTTCCGTAAACTCCGACTCTCTCGGATTGGTGATTGCCCATCCAGTCAAAATCAAATCGGTAATCTAGTGCTGTCGCATCCATGTCAGCTCTGTGCAGCTAGAGCTCATTACATGCAGCACTGCTTCTTTTGCCGAGGAAGTGATGGTCTCAAGGGTGGACGTCACCTCCTTCATCTGCCTTGGTTGCCATTGCCCACTACACACACTTTTTAACGCACCTTGACCCAGTGACTGGTTGGATGCGAGCAAGTGTGTGGTTCATGGAAACAAGCAACATTGAGGCTTCCTGGTAATGCGGATGGCGACTGTGGAACCCAGGACGCATAGGAAAAAATCAATGAAAATCCATGTTTCAGGTGATTCATTCATGTGATTCATGTGCCTCTGGACGGCCAAGTAACTTCTGGGATAGGCCGAGTCCCTTGGCGAGTTTCAGGATTGCTTGATCAAGCTTGGCACCTTTCACGACCTCGGTACCAGCATGTGCCAGCATGTTAGCGATTGTTAGCCGCACAGTTCTCAGCACTCGGTGTGTTCACTGTGTCCACGCTTCAGCATGCTTCAGCCAGGTATCTTCGCATCCGCAAGTTGCGGCGCAATGGGCTTGCGCCCATTCGCCTGGAACGGATTGGACGCGTAGCCGCGTAGCGTCGGAGCTATCAAAGATCAGGAGATCATCATGCCTCATGGATCCTCATGGACATACTGTGTGACATACTGATGATTAAGGCCGATTGCAATCGGAAGTCGGGTTGAAAGAATTGACAAGGTTGCAGCGCACTCCCTATGCAACATTTCAGATCAAAATGATCCCAAATGGCTTCAACCCGCAGCCTTCGCATGCAATCTTCACAGATGCCGCGGTTGCCAACGCTCCCCAATCGCCGTTGGCAGCCTCAGCTCAGGGTGAGTCGGGCCAGTACCTTTGCGACCTGTCGAAAAAATAATGGGTCAATATGGGGCAATATCATGCTACTTCGGAGCAAACATTTGGGGAGGAAGGAAAGTGCTAATTTGTCGATTGAACCAAGATACCCACAGCTGGCAATTCTCTTCTGCGGCTTCAGAACTCCATTCAGGCTCCCACTTATCTTTGCAATCCTCGTCCATCAACACACACCAGCAGGATTTTCCATGCAGCAATGTCGATTACGATTCGGCATATTTGCCTAGTACCAGTACCAACTTGCCTTGATAATTCTTGATGAAAGTTTCATGGATGCAATTGGATTCATAGCAGTCCTGCGTAGAGAGACTCTTAATGTGAGCAGCCACTTTGCCAAAGGTACTGGTGCTCACTGCTTTCGTGCTCGCTGCCTTCGCTGCCTTCGCTGCCTTTGTGCCATTTGTGCCATTTGTGCTGGCTGTCTTGGCTGTCTTGGCCGTGCCAGTGATGCCAGAGGTGTTTCCGCTTGTATTTGTGCTGGTGGCATTGCTGGCATTGCTTGCATTGCCACTGCTTGCGCTGGCTGGGGTGGCTGGGGTGGCTGGGGTGGCGAGAGCGCTTGACTCCGCGGGAACCGCCAGCACATCTGGAACAGAGGCACCTGATGTGCTATGACTAACTTTCCAACCCGCACTGTGTGCACTGCATACAGGGCATGGTTGATTGCATTCCAAGCTGATTGGAGCAAATGAAAATGCCAAGGGGCTGCCAGTTCCAAAGAACCTAGCGAGATTCGAAATTGTAGACTCATGTGGTGTCTGTCAAGGAAATGGCACCAGGCATCAAACAACACAACTTTGTCAACTCCTTGTTTGTCAACTCCTTGTCAGCGTGCCAAGAAGCCTTCCCCATAAAGTATCTTGCGGCGAATCAAGTTCGGGCATTGCGCTTAAGGTGTTTTGGTCCTGCGCTGCCAAGAACAAGGGCAAATGTGGAGGACAGTGGAGGACTCACCTGTTGTTTGATTCTGCCTTGAAAAAGGAAGCGACCACAATATTGTCAAGCTTTGGGACTTTGGGGGTTCAAGATGGGGTGGGGCCCCGCTGTGAAACCCGCCTCCTGTCGCATGAGTGCCCGTGGTACTGCGGAGCCATGCGCATCTATTTGGAACGTCACGTGCCTCAGGCGGGATGGCCTGTGATCATGCGCCCGGAGCAAAGCATCAGCATCAAACATCACACGAGTGGCTCAAGGATTCGGCTCTTCTATCCGCTTTTATTCACCCACTCAAAAGCTTGTTCCGAAGCAAAAAAGAAGCAAATCATGCCAACCAAATACCCTGGAAGAATTCTGAGGACGAAGGTTCTTGAGCCCACCCAGTACTCTGGAGTTCGTGCTTTGGGATTCCCGAATTGAAAGGGCTGTGACACGTCTGTCAACACGTCTGTCAACATGTCAACATATTCTCCCGCTGCCCGGGGATGCCACTTGTTTCCCTTTCCTTCCCAGTGGCCGTGATTCGTCTGTGGAGAGGGTAGCTGCAAGTGCCAAATGGAAACCTTGGGCAGACTTGGGCATGCAAATACCATGCAGGTTAAAGTGTGGAAACTGGGGGCCACGAGCATCAGGCCCATGCGATGGAATAAAATGGGCCTGTGCAAAAACATGAGTAGCTAACCCCAGAGTGTATATATATATATATTATATATAATCCTTTACTTCAGTTTGCTCTACAGTGCTCTGTTCTATATCTGGTGCTTATACCCATGTGCTCTCCGTGCTCTTTACATGCCCAAATGTCTAGTGAAAGTTCCCGTGCTGAACTTCTTGAGCGTGACTCCAATAGAGCGTAACTTCTTACGGCATGTTCACCAGAGTAGCGCATTAAGGAGCCCGTAAGGCATCGTAAGGCGCATGTTGCATAGCAGTCGAAATCAACCTCGACTCAAGCATTTTTGGACCAGAGCCAGTCCGCGGAGGAACCTGTCCCCAAAGCGTCATCCTGCGAGTTCGAAAGCCGCCATTTGGCGGTCAGATCCGCTAAACTACATGAGTTGGCTCCGGGTTTTGGGAAACCCAGCGAAGCAAAGCGAAGCGAGTTGGACACGGTTGGACACATTGCCTCATTCTCTGAAGCAAACTATCCGCAAACTATCCAGCTCAGTAAGTGCATTGGGCTGTACATGTGGGTTGGGAGATACAGCTGAAGTCACCAATAAAGTTTGAGGCGAAACCCCAATAAAGTTGGCAGATACATGTGAGCAGTTTCTCGAGAATCCTCTTGTGGGTGCCGCAATTCCAACCCACGTGAAAAATCGTCAACCCCTTGTTGGTTGACGATCTGCTTAAAACATGTTTGAGTCCTGAGAATCCCATAGTTCAACCCCTTGTTGAACGCGACCCTAGGGTTCAGCCACGGCTGACACCGTTGTGAGCGTCTTTGGCCCGACTTCATCGTCCACAGATAAATGCCCGCGCAGAGGCGCATGACAACGTCGCCCAGTGTGATGCGCCGGGGGATGATGGAGAAAGCATTGAACAGCAGAAAACCTGTCCAGCCCAGCTCCTGGAGACAGTTGATCAGTAAAGATTTACAATGTCGCCCAGGCAAAGTGTACGTAACATCCAGATAGCAATAAATCTAAAATAACGCTTCAAACATACATCGAAGTGACCATCCTCAAGTAATCCTCCTTACAATGCTTCACCAGACAGAACTTTGATGCCTTGAAGTGGCTGTCTGACACCGTCTATGGCCACCAAGCAGCCATGGCAATTAATTATCCTGAATCTTTCTTCGACTAGATCGCAAATACTTCTTGAAAATGGTTGTTTCATGTCAACTTCATGTTGTTTCCAAATTTGTCAGGGTAAGTCGGCTACTGCAGTTTCGCTTTGTTCGTTGTTCCGTCATGTCTCGGGCAAGGCCGGC